TTTGAATCTAGAGCAGCAACGAATAATTATCTCTATTACTGATCAATCTGCTGATCGATCTCTTGATGGTTTTTTCAATAAAATGTCAGATACTATGTACAGATGTATGATTTATTCAGTGACTTGTTTTATCTGATCAACACAACAAAAACAAAATTTATTCAGTTTACTGTCATAGAAAAAGAAAATGTTCACATTTTGAAAGCAGGAACCAAAGAAATTTTGGTATTTTAGCTGGAAAAATGAGTCAAATTATTATTATTATAGTATCAATATATTATCATAATACTAACTAAACTAAATAATTTCAGACATTCTTAGTGGAGAATATTCACATGAAATCAAAATACAGCCAATACAAGGCACTTTTTGTGTTGATTCTGGCGCCCCATGTGGACAAAAGCAGGAGTTTTTCCATCACCTTGTTTCATAGATTTCAAGGGGAATCCGACCAAGTGGCAGGTATTAAATAACTATGTAGAAATCTTTCTAACATTGGATTTTTCAAATTAAAACAATATCACAATATATGGAATCATAACCTCTGTATCGGGATACATATCGTATCGCCAGATTCTTGCCAACATGCAGCTCTAGTTTTTAAATCGTTTATTTATCTTAAGAAGCTAAAGTATAAATTAAATAATACTTCATCCTCCAGTTTATACACAAACATTCAAAATCAGCACATCTGGAGATACGTGGTTTCAACTGGACAGGAAGGGGATTAAATTTAACAAATTAAGTAGAGTAAAAAGTGAAATGTTGGACTCTGAGATGTAGTGGAGTACAAGTATAAAGTAACATAAAATGGAAATACTCAGTGTTGATTTTGGCGCCCCCTGTGGACAAATACAGTAGAGTTTCCACCGCCTCATTTCGTTGAATTTGAGGGGAATCTGAGCCGGTGGTGGACATTAAACAATAACCATACAGAAATATCCAATCTTCTCTCTCTGATGGTCTCGTTTGTTTACGTAGGTCACATAAAGGCATCAATATTTAATCCAGAACCACATAAAAACTCCTTGTTTGGAGACATTTTCTGTGCTGACAGTGTGTGTTTATTGAGCAAGACTGCAGACACACACTATAAACAACATACAGGAAGTTACTCATCCAGACGTGACACCGTACATTAATAATACTCCCCTGTAAGGACCCCACAATGATTCATCCCACAGAGAATAAAGTGTTCAGTTTGAGTCTGAAACACAGGAGGTTTTTGGACAGTGTGAGACAGTTTTATCTTCTGCTGTTAGCCAGCGCTGGTGTGTGTCTGTGTGTGTGTGTGTCTGTGTGTGTCTGTGTGTGTGTGTGTGTGTGTGAGTGACTGCTTACATAATCAACCACTTGTAAACAAGAGAGCAGAGGCACTGTATGGGCAGCTTTTATTTCCTGTGAGCCTGAAGGAATTTAAGCACAGAATCGTTCAGCACTTCAGGTTCTTCTGTGTACAATAATAGACACACTGAATCTGAGTGATTTACCCTATAAAGAGATAATCCCTTCAAAATAAGAGACCAAAGCAACGTCATCCCTGGAGTTATTGATATTCTGATTATTATCTTGACTCATTTTGATTCTCTGTCGTATCAGAAGCGACCAAAAGAGAGCGGAGATCAATTCCAAGGTTTAATAATTGGCCTAGTTAGCTGTCACAGTCACAGCCGTACTGACAGGATAGTTAAACAGGGGGAACCGATTGATAGCAGAGGGTCACGGGGTTAGGGAAAATCAATAGGTTGTGTTCTTGTTGTTAGCATGAATTTGAACATAAGACAACAGATTGAGGCATAAAATCTGATTCAATTAAGTCTTGGTGAGCAAAAAAGGATAGATTTAATGGCTCTAATGGATTTAATGTGTGCAGCGAGGCCTCGAGGGGCTCCGGAGACATAAAGGCTGGACCGACGGGGGGGAAAGTCCAACACATCAAAAATCAATAGATTTCTTCCATTTGGGAGGAGAAATGTGCTCAGTAGCTCGTGTCAGTGTGAGTAGACGAAAGGCCACAGAGTCAGTAGGTGTCGGATCAATAAACGTCTCCCTCTTGAATGTGCACTGAATTATTAGACCGGAATAATACTTTACTTTGAGACATGTAGACTTGATGCAGTAGGTTTGCTTCAACAAATATGACAGAAAGTTATTTTTATAAAAGTAAACCTACTGCAGCTTTAAAGGACCAGTGTGCAGGAGATTACAAACCCCTCGCCTCACTCTCATGTTCCAAGCATGAAGGAGGAACTATGGTGGACCTTCAAAGGATAATTATGTTCTGATATTTCATATTTTTAATGTCAAAAAGCCCAAAAGCAACGATGAAAGTACATTATGTCTCCTTCCTCTTCGCCATAGAGCGCCATTGTTGTACAAAAACTATTGAAAACACATCAGTGAGCCACACTGTTCATTCGTTTCCATGAACACACACTGTTTTGTTTACATGTGCAGACGTGTAAACAAGGTCTTTTCTGGTTTCGCTCAGGTTTTTGTGGATTTGTTTGAATATGTCGTTATTGAATTAACCTGAAATAGACCAGAAAAGGTTCCAGTATCCTGATTCAGTGCAACACTAAACACAACATGACCCCGATTATTGATTATTCTTTAATCCATTTCAACATTTGAAGATATTTTGAGCTCATTGTTAAGTGTTCTGGCATTTCACACAAACAAACTCTAAAAACAAATGTTTGAATCAATCTGTTTGAGTTATGACAACTTAAAATTAAATTATATTCAACTAATGTTATTACATTGAGTTTTGCGAATTAGCTTTTTCCTCTACAATAAAGGTATTTTAATGACCACTTAATTAATAATTGGTTGTATTTGGGTTGATTAGGCTGCACTGTAAAACCAGTTAATTTAACTCCAAACATTGTTGAAACTGATTAGATAAAACATTTTAAGTACAACAAACTCAATTTTGTAACATAAAAAAACATTCTTGATCAAGTAGCTTTAGTCTTATTTGTAACTTATTATGGACTCATTGAAATGTTTGCAACTTAAAAGGTTTATTTAAATCAATTAAATTATGATATTTATCTTGCAACCATGCATTTAATTAAGTGGTGATCCTCTGAATTACCTTGTGGAGTTCACCTGTATTCTGCAAAGACCGACCTCTGATTGGCTCTGACCCTCACATTTACTAATTAACTCGAACCATCTCACTCCTCATTCCTAAACCCAACCAACCAAATCGACACAGGAAACAAATACTCACAAGAGCACCAAATGTGGATTAATCCTCCGGTTAAAATAGTCCCTGACATCTGCACTATGTCCTCCTGTTTGTTTGATAAAAACTACAGTGAGCTGCTGTTTTAGGAAATGACTAAAAATGATATATTTGTGATCTTCAGTAGGAACCAGCGGGCTTGGATCTGTGAGCAGGAAGTCAGGAAGTATTAAGAGACGGACGAACACGTTGGTTTAAGACTTTTATTGGATTTATTGATAATTAATCATCAACCTTTAACAAAAGAAATATAAAATGTTGTTTCCTCAAATAAAATCATATAAAATGTTGGAACTATGTGATCTGAGATGAACCAGATTACAGCTCTATCCAGACGCTGCAATCTGTCCAGATTAGTTTTTGACACTTTTCCGACGCCGCCAAAAAAAAAAGGTTTGATACCCAGAATGCAACAGGAAACACACAGATTACACAGCAGGATTAGTTCACACCTAATCTGCACATATCAGACACAATTTAATCCTGCTTCCATAGTGGAAATAATCACAGTTGAGGTGATATAATCCAGACATAATCCGGCTGTAATCCAAGAATTATCAACAACAGCCTCTGTTTGACCTTTAAAGACCAACGAGGAGGGATCCTCCTGTACAGCATGTAATGAGTTTATATTTCTATAAATTCAAAACATATATGAAAGTGGATTTAAAGGGTCACACTTTAAATAATAATCTTCATAACCAATAAAACTGCAATGAAATCAACACTGCTCTTAATGATCTGGTATGAACAGTAGCTTATGTGAGAGAGAGAGAGAGAGAGAGAGAGAGAGAGAGAGAGAGAGAGAGCTTGTCGTTTATTAGCTCTGTTATGAGACCAGAGTTGATCATAAAACACTTTTTTTTTAAATGAACTGCGTCATCTTATTATCTCGTTAGCGACTGGTCTAATTAGCTTCCATCAGGGCAGTTAACCATCTCGTTAGAAAGCTTTTCTCCTATTATTAATCAAATCATCTTCAACCCCTGAAAACAAACTAATCAGCAAAGTACAGAGCAAACAGAAAGAGGTTGTAACTGACTAGTGTAACTTACAGTGGTTACACTGTTTCTCGGGGTTGCACAGGTGAATTTCTGTCTCTTTTCCTGGTGCAATCGGGCTCCTAGAGGTGTTGCAAGGTGTATTTTGTACCATTAACCGTTTCCTCCTGCTGCCAGTGTTTATGCTATGCAAAGCTAACCACCTCCTGAACTATTTATGTAAAGCACATAATAGTTAAATAAACTATATTATTGCTGTATATTATTTTTAATGGTCCTCGTTAGGGTTTAAACTGTGACATAAAGAGTAAAAACTGGTGTTTTAAATATGCTTAATGTGTGTTTATTGGCTGCTTTCTGGATTATTTTCTGGTTGAGATGAAAGTATAATTTAATAACAGCCTTGTTTTCAGTGGATATGTTGTATTTGTGTGCCTGTGTAGGTGATAGAGAGTAGGGATTACCTCTTTGTGCCCTCTGGACCTTTGCATTCCTCCTCTCTACATGCAACTATAGCTTACAGCCTTACCAGCCCAACACATGACAAAAATGCCTTGGTCAGTGGTTTCCTTTGATAGTTAAAATGCTTACAGGCAGGCCAGAGGGGCCGGCGGCGTTTCCAGGCTATGCGATGACCCGGTGGCTTTGGCACGGGCCAACTGTGATGACGAGAGGCTTTCTATTGTGCTGTGAGCCTCTACGTTTGGCCTTTGCCAGAGTATAAAAGCTCGGGTCGAGCGTTGAAGGGACCAGCACGAGCCAGCCTCCCTCACACGGCACTGCAAGCTATACTAACGCAGGTAAGGACACACAGACGCAGACATACGCAGCAGAACATCCATCATAGTACAGGGGGACAACCACGCATCCAGAGCCAGGGCCCACTCCCTGCCCACCACACCCAGGCGAACCACCCTCAGCCTGGGGGCGGGGAGGGGGAAAGGCCCAAATGAGCCTCCCACATAAACAGCAGTTAGTCCAAATCCCCAAAAACATACCTACAAGCCCTCCGACAATGTCACCGCCACGCTCACTCCTCCTTCCCTTTCACTGTCTCCTCTGCAGTCCTGTCACTTCCATTTACACCTCTATTTCTGTTCATCCCCTTGTCTCTTCCTCCATCTCTCACCCAGACTCTCCTGAAGCCCCTCACCATGTCTCAGACCGCCAAGTCCGCCTCCAGCCAGGGCACCGATGCCAAGGACAAGGGAGCCCCAGCCCCCGCTGCCTCCAGCAAGGCCACCAAGACCGGCGAGCCCGGCATGGGATCCTACAGAGTGAGTCACCGCGGCGTTAGTCTGCACAGACCGCCTTTTCTACACAATGTGTACATTTAGTTTGATTTAAAGGGCCAGTTCAACAATGTCACATCACTCTGAGCCGGTTATTTTCTCAGGTTTTCAGATGAGTTTTGATGCTTTTAGCAGAAAAATATTATTGTGTAAAGCAGATCATCGTTTAGATTAGTTTCCTACATACCAATTAATTTATTCAGTGGATTTAACGGGGTTGTTGACTGTGATGGAAGAAGTATTCAGATCTTTCACTGAAGTACAGAAGCAATAGCGGTAGAGCTAACATTAAATAGTTTATATACTGTTTGGTAGTGTTATATTTAATCCAACTAAAACACTACCAGAATATATTTTCTCATGTTTTTGTGGATAAAATCCATCTGTAAAAGAAATGCAGTGCAGTTAAAAGTTGAATATTTTCCTCTGAAGTTTGGTGGTGTAACTTGTGATATCTCCTCTGTGCAGATCATGATGTTCGACCAGGAGAACTTCCAGGGCAGGATGATCGAGGTCCAGAATGAGTGTATGAACGTGTGTGACCGTGGCATGGATAGAGTGCGTAGTATCATTGTGGAGTGCGGCCCGTAAGTGGACACACAAACCGGATTTAACCACACAAGCTGTTCACGCTCTCTCTGTTCACACCTGCTGTCTTTCCCTCTAATTCTTCTCTCCTGTGCTCTCTCCTCCCCTTGTGACCCCCCTGTGCCTGGCCGACCCCCTCCTCCAGCTTTGTTGCCTTTGAGCAGACTAACTTCCGTGGGGAGATGTTCATCCTGGAGAAGGGAGAGTATCCTCGCTGGGATACCTGGAGCAACTCCTACCGCAGCGACTGCCTCATGTCCCTCAGGCCCATCCGCATGGTTCGTTTAACGCTGTATTCATTCTCAGAGACACAGACAGTCAATATACTTTCATATATGACACAGAAAAGCTGCAAGTCTTAACATTTGAGAGGCTGGAAGCAGCAAATGTTTTGGCATTTTTGCTTGAAAAATGAGTAAAGTAATTAACACTACAGAATAATTGACAAATTGTTTCACTCTAGAGGCAACTTTGATACTTTTACATCCAAAAATGTCAGTTATAGCCAGCAAAGGTTCTGTTTCCACCCAAAGGAGAAGGATTTATTATCTGTACGGTGGCCTTTTGGGACATTTATCTAATTTCACATGCTAGTATTGTGTTTAAAAGCCACTGGATCATGAAACTCAGTAGGATTCATCATCTGGATGCCACCAAAGCCTGCACCAAATTTCATATCAATCCATCCCGTAATGCCGACATATTTCTGAGGGTGCGACCAGCAGCGGCGCCCCGAGAGCCACAGCATGGCTACAGCACGAAGACAGGAGCATCATTAATTCACATGCAGATGATGTAACATGAGGACTAACTCTTAATGCCTCATTTCCTCCCTGCAGGACAGCATGGAGCACAAGATCTGCCTGTATGAGCTCTCTGACTTCAAGGGCAACAAGATGGAGATCCAGGAGGATGATGTGCCCACCCTCTGGGCGCACGGCTTCTGCGACAGAGTGGGCAGCGTGAGGGTGCCCGGAGGATCGTGAGTACACACAAACACACTGAAATGAATGAATCCAGTAGCAGAGGATCAAGGCTTGTGTTTTTTAATGAGAGAAGCCTGGAAGCAAATCTATCGGCTCATTTTCCATATATAAATAAAATGGAGGCTGTGTACTGGAAACACCACAGGCCTCCAGACTTCCACTACAATGTGGTTGTTCATAGAGAGTACGGTGACATGTCATCACAAGGCTTAAAGCTGACTGCGGGATGAGTTGTTTGTTGACAAATTTGTATTTTTAGCCAGAAATGGTTCTTCATATTTTCATGCTTTCAAGGTCTCACAGTAAAATCCACATTGACTGATTTGGACTGTTCCACCACAGGCCTCCAGAACAGCTCTTTAAACACCAGTAGAGCCTCAGAAATGGCCCTTACAGCCTCCTCAGTGACCACAGAACCTCCTGAAGGACTTCTAGGACTTTCTAAAAAACCTCTAGACCACTATAGCATCTTATAAGAACCTTATAACATCCTCATTGACCTCCAGAATCTCATTAAATGACACTAGAGCCTTCTAAGGGAACCTAGAACCTCCTCAGTGACCACAGAACCTCCCAAAGTATTTCTAGGACTTTCTAAAGAACCTCTAGGACCTCCTAAAGGAGCTCTAGTCTCAGAAATCCTTTAATATGAAAGCAGTAGAGTAGCCACATGATAAAGATCCTATAATAGAGCAACATAAACACATTAAGGTCGGTGTAAAGCATTATGTGGACTATGAACTGACTCTCTCTCTCTGTCTCTCAGCTGGGTGGGTTACCAGTACCCCGGATACAGAGGCTACCAGTACCTGTTCGAGTGCGGTGACTACAGACACTACAACGACTTCTGCGCCTTCCAGCCCCAGATCCAGTCCATGCGTCGTATCAGGGACATGCAGTTCCACCAGAGAGGATGCTTCACCTTCACCTCCGCCAGCAAGTGAGCGACGCCTTCCGGCCGCCTGGCGCTGCGGTAGCCCCCTGCAGCCCTCTCAGCTTTTTATTTCTCCAAAACGCCCAACCCCTTTCCCAAAATCTCCACCATCATCACTCCATCCCGAAAGGAAAGACAGAATGAGAGCAAATCACACGGGACAACCTTAACTGACTTTTTATGGTGCTAAAAAATAAACATGTTGTGAAAGACCTGAAACCTCCGTGGCTGGATTACATTTATTCTTTGTGTATATAATGAATGGTGTGTGGGTGGTTTACTTTTTAAATATATGTTCACCTCTAAAGGCAGATCTAGCACTGTAAGTGTGTCTGTGGTAGACTGAGTGCAAGCTACTTTTACATTCAACTAAATTATATTCTTTTAAACCTAAAATAAAAACATTGACTTACCAATAGTACCAATAGTAGTCAATATAGTGTTACAGACTTACTTTAAGTCCAAATATGAATAGATCTGGGATATCATATATGATATGAAATTGAATAATGTATTTCTTACATGTGTTAAAACCAAAATGAAGAAATATTAACAAAAAACTGACAAATCATGACAGTAAAAGACCGTAAATATTAAATAGGTTAAAGTTTCTGTAACAGTAAAATGTAGTAAAGTGATATATAAGTCAAGGTAATAATGGTGAAATTAAAATATCCCCCCGGTTGAGAACCACTGCTGTAAACTGTAAAGGGCTTAAAGGAGCATGTGTAGGATTTAGTGACATCTAGTGGTGAGACTGCAGACTTGCAACCGACTAAACATCTTTTAGTCAACCATGGAGAAGGTAGGAGAAACTACGGTGGCTGTATGTACATTAATAAATATATAACTATATGTTTAGTTAAACAAACAGGAGGTGGTGGAGTATGTGAGTCGCTCCTCTGTGGGACGTATCGAGGGACAATCTTCATCAATATGTTTAACAGGATGTTTAATGTTGTTTTATGGAGGTTAAATCAGAAATATTTGCATCATCTTTTAATAAAATGACTAAATATATCATAATTCAACTGAATGAAAAACCTGAAACACACATTTGAGTTTATGTCACCTCCTGTTAATTTGGTGCCTTCAGTGGTCCTCATAAATTGTAGGATAATGTGGTTGCGTTGCTGTATTTGAGTATTTTAACAAATAGACTTTAAACCTGCAGCTGATTTCTGATTTTAATATTTTTAATCTATTAATGTCCAACATTTAACAATAAAATGCCAGAACAAAGGATTATTTTGAGAGAATACCTCCTAAAATGACCTCAGCAACCACTAGAACTGCATTATGGGATTCAGGGGAGAATATCGACGATTCAGATTTTAGAATATTTAAAGTGAGTGAAGTTTTAGGATATATACGCTTGGATGGTGAAATAAACTTTATTAAACTGAATTAGTGATGAATCATACACAAGGACGAAATTTAGATTTCAGAGGTGGGGGGGAGGGGGGCACAAGTATTTTTAATAAAACTCTTTCAGTTCACTGTGTTTTCTAGTAGTTCTTCTAGTTTTCTATTGCTACTTTTAAGTAATAATAATAATAATTATAATACATTTTATTTATCAGCACTTTCAATAAAACTCAAAGACACTTTACAAGATTATTGAGAGCTTTGTAATTGATGAGGAGGATCTTGAAGTGGACATGCTGCTTTACTGGGAGCCAGTGAAGGTGTTGCAGGATGGGTGTAACGCATTTCTTTGAGTAACTTACACTTTGACTTCTAAAGAAGTCTCTCATGTCCACTTTTCTTTTTTTAGACATCCTGGCTGCACCTAATTACCAAACACACACACACACACACACACACACACAGGACACCGATTCAAACGTTAACGTCAGATCATCAATTCCCCCAGTTTGGGATCAATAAAGTCGATCATATCTTATCTTATTCTTTAGAAAGGCAAGTAAACAAGCATTCTTAAACCAACAACAGAACCTGAAACACAACCATTCACAATGAACTCCTCACTCAATGTCACTCAGACTTCCTCTTCTGACGCTGCACAGAGCTCCCGCCCCTGAATTCCGATAATTCCGACGGCACGTAAAGGCAGCACCGCGCTTCATATAACCGCTCATTGACACAAACAGCGACGGTCGGAAACATGGCGGCTCTTCTCTCAGCGAGGAAAGGTGAGACAACCAACCGACCACAACCACAAACACAACCACGGTTAGCTTTATCTGAGCCGGTCACCTGTACGGGGCTGAATGTCTGCTAGCTGTGGCTAACGACGGGGTTCAGTGGCTGTTAGCTCCTCGGCTACATAAGGTTGTAAGTTAGCCGGCTAGCTGCGATCAATAACGTATCGATAAGTGGTTATGACGAGAGGAAGAGGAGCTGGAGTGGTTGTCGCAGAGTTTAACTGCTGTTCTGGTTCCTGTGAGGTTTCCTTTTTTAAAGCTGACTGTGTGAGATGAAGGTGACTGATGATGATGAAGATGAAGTTCACCTTTCACCTAAATAACCTAAAGCTAACCGGTGAGCTGCTGCTGCCTTCAAAGACCGTCGGACAAATATATATCTGTCTAAAAAACAATAACAAACTGTCTAAAAATAATAACAAACTTTATAAAAATAATAACAAACTTTATAAAAAAATAACAAACTGTATAAAAAAATAACAAACTTTATAAAAATAATAACAAACTTTATAAAAATAATAACAAACTGTCTAAAAATAATAACAAAGTTTCTAAAAATAATAAACTGTCTAAAAATAATAACAAACTTTATGAAAATAATAACAAACTTTATAAAAAATAACAAACTTTATAAAAATAATAACAAACTGTATAAAAATAATAACAAAGTTTCTTAAAAATAATAACAAACTTTATAAAAATAATAACAAACTTTATAAAAATAATAACAAACTGTATAAAAAATAACAAACTGTATAAAAAATAACAAACTTTATAAAAATAATAACAAACTTTATAAAAATAATAACAAACTGTCTAAAAATAATAACAAAGTTTCTAAAAATAATAACAAACTTTATAAAAATAATAACAAACTTTATAAAAATAATAACAAACTGTCTAAAAATAATAACAAACTTTATAAAAATAATAACAAACTTTATAAAAAATAACAAACTTTATAAAAATAATAACAAACTGTATAAAAATAATAACAAAGTTTCTTAAAAATAATAACAAACTGTCTAAAAATAATAAACTGTCTAAAAATAATAACAAACTATAAAAATAATAACAAAGATTCTAAAAAATAATAACAAACTGTCTAAAAAATAATAACAAACTTTATAAAAAATAACAAACTTTATAAAAATAATAACAAAGTTTCTAAAAATAATAAACTTTATAAACAAAATCTTCATGACAAAAACCCACCCGACAGTTAAATAATGCAGATAAACCTGTTTAGAGTTACTTTAATAATATTAGTTTTGATTCCCTTCAACAGCAAACATGTAAATAAAAACAAGAGAACAGAAATGTCAATAAGATTTACTGATGTCAGTTTATTCTATAAAATAATAATAAAAAACAACCTGATAAAACTGATGTATTTTAAACTTGTAATCTGGCTAATAATTCCTGTATTCACTAAATGTAACTGTAATCTGATTACGTTTCTTTTCTGTAACTAATTAATTACAGTTACCTTTTTTTTGGTATCCTGATTACGTCACTCACTCACACGTAAGCCTGTAAATATGGTTTAATATGATTATTAACAGTGGTGGAAGAAGTATTTGGATCCTTAAGTAAAAGTACTGATACCACGCAGTGAAAATACTCCACTACAAGTAAAAGTAATATCAGTAAAATGTACTTTAAGTATGAAAATTAAGCTTTGTGACATATTTTACAGCTTTTTCCAAGAGAGTTTTTAAATAGTTTATTTAGATTAATAAGTAAAGGAACACTTCATCCTCCAGTTTATCACAAACACAGTCATACATGTTTTTACTGGACAGGAAGGGGATGAAAAAATTACAAATGTAATGGAGTAAAAAGCACAATATTTGTTTTTGTGTTGATTGTGACGCCCCCTGTGGACAAAAGCAGTAGTTTCTGCCGCCTAATTTAATTGATTTCAAGGGGAATCTGTGGCAGACATTAAGAATAACTGTATAGAAATCTCCAATATTCTCTGTGGGGTCGTGTTTGTTTATGTAGATCATATATTATATTATATTATGTTATATTATAAGTATATAATATTACATTTAATAACCAGTAAAAACTCCTTGTACTACCTTTTAAGGACTGTACTTGAGTAAATGTATCTACTTGAATTCCACCACTGATTATTAACCTTTTCTTATCCGGGCCGTTGACATAAGACATGTTGGATCTAGTACCCATACCATACATCATTAGAAAGTTTAGAATCTCGTCTATTTATTGATCAAAACGCTTTTGGGATACAATCACAACAGCGGGCACAATCGGCACCTCAAACTAGCGAGCAAGCCATCATAAAATTGAGCCAACTCACCAAAGAAGCCTCACTGTAATCCTGGAATCAGTAATAATCCAACAAAAACAGTCCTGTTTCATTACCAAAGGTCCAATATATCCACTCCAGTAAGATTTATTGTCCATCTACACGAGCACATAGAGTGATTCTGAGTGTTATCTTTTAAATGAGACCAAAACCATTCATATACTGCAAATGGTTGAAGAACAGCTTTTAATTTACTTTGGGTAAATGTTGTTTTTAGGCGTTTTTAGGTCATTTTACAGAAATGGTAAGAGGTTAAATACTAACATTTAACCCATAAAGTGTAAATATTCAGAGAAAAAGAGCTAGAGACTGTTTGCTACTTTAGCTTAAAAAGTCTCTCAAACAATGAATAAGATACATTTTCTATTGATCCATTAATGGATTAATCAACTAATATTTCAGCTCTAATGTTTATTATCGATTAATGAATTAAATGTCAGAAAATAGAGAAAAATCCCACTTTTTAAACCCCAGTGTGACCCCTTCCTATGACACAGTCATAGTCTCATAGTCTCCGTGGTAACCAGCCGCCTTTTTATAATCAGATTATTGATCATCTATCAGCATCGTGTTCTCTCGCCGCTCCCTGTTCTCGGCGTCCTGACAGCCTCGTTAAATCTGACCCCATCATAACAGATCAGATCTGAGCGTGAACTCTGTGAATCATTACACCCGTAATAACATCGTGTGACACTTCTGGCTCGCCGCCGGGCGTCTCCGGAGCCACAGCTGGGTCTCGCCGCTCAGACCGGTTCGTCACCTCGGAGAAACAAACCGGATCTGATCGGAGTGGACGTGTGTGGACACTGAAGTTTAAAGGCCGTTTTATTCTGTATTTCCTTTTTTAATCTCCTCGAGATTGATTTAAAAACCAACTTTATTGGGTAATTTATAGAAAATGTTGCTCTCATATTTATATTTATATTATTAAGGAAGACACAAGTGTTGGATCTGGACGAGGTATCAGCAGATAATCAATATTAAACGGGGATCAGGGGCCAAAAATACTCGATGAGGACTATTTACTGTGGTACCGTGATCTGTACCTGATTTAAGACCACGTGGTTTCTACTGTGGAAGTCCATTTCTACCAATGTGACATAAAAGAAGATTGTGTGAACTTTAACTGGACATAGTAAATCAGTATTTTGAGAACTTTTCTCATTATATTAACTTTCTTTCTGTCACATTGGTGGAAATGGACTTCCACAGTTGACACTGAGCTCGAGTGTGAACAGTCCTATCAGAGTCCCTGGCACTCTTCTGGCGCTGTAGACTAATATCCGTCATGCGGGTGCACTACAGCTCGCAGTGTGAGAGCAGTCGTTAATAAATCAGATCTGAGTCACATAAGCAAACCCTTTACCGCATGTCACCCCCCTCTCCCTCTCTCTTTCCCCACTTTCCTGTCTTTCTACCACCACTAATATCAAATAAAGCCAATAAAAGCCTAATAAATAAAGTCTGAGGGCCTCGTCTTAGACACGGCATAACTTGGTGCACAGCCGGGTTTCACTGATTGTCTCTGACCCACAACGTTGTTATTTTCTGCACCCTTTCAGACTCTCTCTCCTGGTTAGTTCTGCAGATCATAAACAGAGTAACGTTTGCAGGTGATGGCGCTGGATGAATTGTGAGAGTTAGTACGGTTCCACCTGAGGGGAACGTGAATGTTTGACAGCTCGTCTTATATTGCTTCTGGGAGATTTCAGTCCGACATCGCGGGTCCACGTTGCGATCACTGAACTGAGATCTGTTTCTGTCCCTCAGCTCTCGGCTCGTGTCTTCGAGGTTGTCGAGGTCTGTCTCAACTCGCCGAGTTACCGGACACTCATCAGCTCCTCAGACAGACCTGCAGAGACTACGCCGACAGAGAGCTGAACCCCATCGCTGCCAGACTGGACAAAGAGCATTCCTACCCAGCCAAACAGGTACGCACACACACACACACACACACACACACACACACACACACACACACACACACACAGGTGAACAATGTGATGCTTTGTGAGTTATGAGTTGAAATTTGATCCTGGTTTTATTGTTGTAGTTCAGTGTTTACAGGCCAAGATAAGAACCAAGGAGGTGGTTTATGAATCAAATGTTTGACATGACGATGTGAACGGTGTTTCTGGTTTACGGTTCGGCACCAAACTCTGTACTTTTAAGGGCACTGACCGAATTACATCTGTAATATGGAGCACTGATTCAACGTTAGGTTGATCCTGTGCTTTCAGGTAATGAAACCACTGGCTCTGTGACTCTCAATAAGTCGGTATCCTTGTGTGAAATAATGAATGTAATTGGGAAGATCCCCAGATACCCTGGTTAGGTTTGGCCTCCAGTTTCAGGCTGTGATGTCTGGATGTTGGCAGGTGATCAACTTATGGCCATGTTTACTGACTTAACTTGATTGTTATTATTCATATCAGATCCAAAACCATCAGTACTTAAACTGTAAATGGTCCAGTTGTGAATTATCAGTTGATCCACTTTACAGAGAGTTTCAGCTCATTGTTTATGTCTCAGTGTCGTTTTCACTGTAAATAACCTGCTCAGCAGCAAACAGCTGGAGACCAACTGGTGAACATAGGGGAGCAGATATTTCCCTCAGGAGTTGGTGAAGACCAAAAACAGAGCGAATACTGAACTGACCCGACCCTAAATGATGATTATGTTGCTCTGTGTAAGTGAGCAACAAAATGTGACTAACTGCTGCCCCCCAGTGGTCAGAATAATCAGGTTTAAGGTGTCAAACACACGACTGTCGATTGCTCTGTCGACTGTTCAGATCCAGGAGTTGGGGGCGATGGGGGTGATGGCCATAGAGGTGCCAGAGGAGCTGGGTGGAGCTGGGATGGACTATCTGGCGTACAGTCTGGCTATGGAGGAAATCAGCAGAGGCTGCGCCAGCACCGGTGTGGTGGTCTCCGTGAACAACGTGAGTACAGTCTGAGAGCGTAGATACACACTGTGAATATAACCGGTGTAATACTCAGTTCAACCGCCCGCTGTGGGCTCTGTGATTCTCTTCCTAGTCTCTCTACATCGGGCCCATATTGAAGTTTGGTAGCGAAGAACAAAAACAGCAGTGGATCACACCGTTCACCACCGGAGAGAAGGTGGGCTGCTTCGCCCTCAGCGAGCCAGGTAAACGAAGCTTAAAGCAGTAGTGCCAACATCAGGTATAACTATATAGAAACTTTATAGAAATAGCCAATGTAGCAAGTTTTAAGAAGATTTTTTTTAAAAAACCTGTTAAAAAGTGGATTTTTTCTGTATTTTCTTACATTTAATTAATTAACCAATAATAAACATTAGATCTGACATTTTAATCGTGTTCATCAGTTTTTAGTGTCTCCTGGTTTCTGTAGTTGTGTGTATGTGTGTATATAAATACATAACCAGCCGCAACGTACCACCGACAGTCCCTGGTTTTAGACCAGCAACGTGTTCGCTGGGAGGAGTTTTCCTGGCTGAGAGTCGGTTCTTTGGTTATTAAAACCTGAAGAACTGGTTCCAGGTTAGGCACCGGGTCCAAACCGGCCCTCAAACTGTCTTAGTGGAAGAGTGAATGAACCCTGGTACTGAAAACAACATCTGATAGACTTTTAGAACACTTTCCCTGATCCCACAGACTGAAACTGGTTCCTTTTATAAAGTGATTGAATGATTTGTTGCCAGGTAACGGCAGTGACGCGGGCGCAGCCTCCACAACAGCTCGTCAGGACGGCGATGAGTGGGTCCTGAACGGAACCAAAGCCTGGATCACCAACAGCTGGGACGCCTCGGCCACTGTCGTGTTCGCCACCACGGACAAGAAACTCAAACACAAGGCATGACGCGGCACATTTTTTTTACGTTCAGATGACGGAGATAAAGAGTTCATTGTTCTGTAACAATGGGGATCTTTGTGCTTCTTCTTTTTATCTTCCGTGTGCAGGGAATCAGTGCGTTCCTGGTCCCCATGCCACACCCGGGCCTTTCTCTGGGGAAGAAGGAAGATAAGTTGGGCATCAAAGCCTCATCCACCGCCAACATCATCCTGGAGGACTGCAGGGTGCCGCTGGGCAACATGCTGGGCCCGCGTGGAGCCGGGTTCAAGATCGCAATGGTACCTTTTTTATTAAAAGCATTTCATTATGTGGAGACACTAATTTCAAAATAAGAGCTGAACTAAACATCACCTCAGTACTCAGGTAAACCTTTCAGAACCTGTTTAACACGGAAACGTCCCAGAGTGGAGTTTCCTGAATATCAACCACGCTTCTCGACTTACTCATCATGTGACTTTATTGGCTCTTCGTCCTGTTTAAACAGAAAACATTAATAACAATAAAAACAATAATGGTGCTAAGGTGCAGTTCTGTCCTTGTGAAAAGTTTCCTGAAGTTGCAGTGTTCACTTCCTGAACTTTATTGAACAATCATCATTCAGATGTTCAGCTCCCAGTAGAGTTAGAGAACTACAGCTTCACCTTCTAATGCAGTTTTGAACTGCAGGACAAAGTCAGACTGTATCTGTGTCTGTTCCAGTAAACAGTGAAGATGTTAATATAGATATAATACAGACTCACTCCCTCCAGCAAGATTATTATTTTTTAATCACTTTTTGTCTTTATATATCTTACATTAATAAATAAAACATCATACTTTAATTATTGTGACAGAAATTTCACTGAAAAACTATTAAAATTATGATGATGAGTTTTTTGGGGTTTGTACCAAACTAACATGTTTTTGTTAGATGCACTAAAAATCTTATAAATCGATATTTTTTTCCACTTTAAATGAGTCAATCTTTTAGAACTACTCCTTGAAATAAACATATCAAATATGTATCATATTTTGAGTATTTTAACCCTTTAAAGGCCAATATGTTTACACAACTCCGCTGTTGTGGAAATCTCAGTTTGTTTGGGACCAAGTCCATTTTGCTGCTGCTTCATCAATTCACATCATCATCAATGGCAATACGCACTTACTTCAGTAGCAAGGCACCCTCACACAAAAAGTAATGCCTAAAATTGAAAGCTTGTAGACCAAAATGAAACCTTAATATAAAGGAATGCATTAGTTTATGTAAAGACAGATTTGTGCGTAGGCTAATCTAAGGAACTAACGCCAGAATTCTAAACACAATGCAAAATTAATAACCTTTGGCAAGTTTGAGCTTCATTCATTGAATACAGCCAAAATAGCATGAAAATAAAAAATGGAATAGTAGAAAATGTTCCTAGGAACCTCTAAGGGTTAAATATGACGTCAGTAATAGAAATATTTGCTCTTTCATGTTGCAGCGGCTTAAAGACAGTTTGAGTTTGAGAGCTTGAGACCCCTGAACCGCCTCCGGATGCAGTCTTTATCCAAATATCCTGGAAATAATCCGACTAATGAAGACTGCAGAGGGGAAATGGATAAACACTGAACCACCCTAATAAACCTGAGACACTTCCTCCTCTAAAAATGTCTCTGTCTGTGTCACACAGCAAACTCTGGACAGTGGACGGATCGGCATCGCAGCTCAGGCTCTCGGTATCGCTCAGGCTTCTCTGGACTGCGCCGCCGACTACGCACACAAACGCACCGCGTTCGGATCCCCCATCGGCAAACTGCAGGCCATCCAGGTAAACCGCCGACCCGTCACACAGAACCAACGCGGGTCAGCTGACGGCTGATAGACGGGATGTGTTTCACTGTTTCATCAATATTAGAAAAGCAGCTGTAGCCGTCACCTCACCGTCACTACTCATCTTTTAATAACAATCAATAATATTTATTAATAATAATAATAATAATAATTATAACCAGTTATATAAAGAGCCGGATCAGCCGGGACCAGTTCACACATCCTGATTTTACACTCGTCAACAAAACGCCCTCAGATAGGAGCCGAGGGGACGACGGGGGGGAAACTCTCTCTCCAGACAGGAAGCAGCAAACTGGTAGTTACCATGGTAACAGGCGAAAAAATCTGTTCAGATTCTGACTTCAGAATATGTTTTATCTTTATGGATGATATTGATCAGTATACACTATCTTTATGGATGATATTGATCAGAATACACTGTATCTTTATGGATTATATTGATGATATTGATCAGTATACACTGTATCTTTATGGATGATATTGATCAGTATACACTGTATCTTTATGGATTATATTGATATTGATCAGTATACACTGTATCTTTATGGATTATATTGATGATATTGATCAGTATACACTGTATCTGTATGGATGATATTGATCAGTATACACTGTATCTTTATGGATGATATTGATCAGTATACACTGTATCTTTATGGATGATATTGATCAGAATACACTGTATCTGTATGGATGATATTGATCAGTATACACTGTATCTGTATGGATGATATTGATCAGTATACACTGTATCTTTATGGATGATATTGATCAGAATACACTGTATCTTTATGGATTATTGATCAGTATACACTGTATCTTTATGGATGATATTGATCCTGTATTGACAGTCAGACTGTGGACATATGACGGCCTTTAGCTCGTGTTTCTAGAGTTACGTGTTGTTACGGACACGTTAGGAATTGTTAAAATGTGATATTTCTTAAAGGGAGTTTGGTGCAGGGAGCTTTTAGTTGGATTCAAACTGTTAATATGGATCATTGTTAACGTTTAGTCTCCACTACAGAAACTCTAGCTAACTGCTGAAGGCTGATCAGGTTGTCTGACCTGTTGGTTACTTAAATCGAGTATTTCTCACATCCTTTAGTTTAAACTGGCGGACATGGCTGTGGCGATAGAGAGCGCTCGTCTGCTCACCTGGAAGGCGTCGCTCCTTCGAGACGCAAAGAAACCCTTCACCAAGGTACGCAGTCGCCTCTCGTCTTAACGGGTTCTTGCAGAGTGACGCGCATTAACCCGCCTCTGTTTTCCTACAGGAAGCCGCCATGGCCAAACTAGCGGCGTCTGAAGCCGCCACGTTCTGCTCCCATCAGGTAAGAAACCACCAACGAATGTAAAGATCCAGAGAAGAGAGACAAACATTTAATTTTTCTTTTCCGCTCTTTCAAATCAGGCCATCCAGGTTCTGGGGGGGATGGGTTATGTGGCGGACATGCCCGCCGAGAGGCACTACCGCGACGCTCGCATCACGGAGATCTACGAGGGCACCAGCGAGATCCAGAGGCTGGTCATTGCCGGCCAGTTACTGAAGGAATACCAGTCGTAGACGTGCTGCTGTCGGTGCCTTATACATACAATCACAGGTCTGGAATCAACCCGGAGACATCAGCTCGTCCTTAAAGAGAAGAAGATCAACTTTAATATGAGCTGTGGTGAAGATTTTTATATCGTTATAGATACAGAAGCTCATTAGAAATTCAGATGATTGTACGTGTCCATTATCTGCCGTCTCAAGGGAATTCAGGATATAACACAGAAAGCGAAATAACCTCAAACTCGTCTCCGCCGCCTTAAAAGGATATGAGTGCGTTGCCAGTTTAAAGGTTCAGTTCACCTACATTTAAGAAGAATAAAGGCCATATTCTCTCCTGGTGGTGTCGAGCCACACAGATAGTTCTGGTTATGTGTCCCTCTGTCTTGGTGCTCAGAGACCTTTTAAAAAAAATGTATTTAATGATATCTGATGCTAAAACTTCATTCTATGTAAATCTATATAGCAGCTGGTAACATATGAAAGGAACTGAACCAAGAACCGAACCCTTCTGGTTCCTTTAAAGATCAGTTTATGGGGACAGAAGGATTCAAATCGAAGCAGCAGAAAACCTGGTAGAATCATAGAAAAAAGATCCTTCTTACGGCTGCAGAATCATCATGATAACTTTTCTTCAGTATCAAAGTGATTCAGTGAGAGTCACACTGCAAACAGAAAGTGCTCATGGATAATTCAGCACTCTTTAATCAGTCCCTCCAGGATTTCTCTGGCTTCTTTTGGGGAGTTTTGATCTGATTTCACCGCAGATTTTCAAATTAAATTGCAAAAGATAAGAGAGGATAATAAAAGGCTTCATAAAGTCAGATCACCGTTTAAATCAAACTCATTTCACGTTGAGATGCAGTTTGTTATTTAGGCTTTTTGTTTTTCATTTCAGCTCCGAAATTACAGGAAAGTGAAAATTGTTCCACCACGACAAAAACATCAGGGAACTTTTACAGTAATTCTTCTTGGTAAACGTAAACTAATATACTTCCTCTCTGGGTTCAGTCGGGTCTCGGCTCTTCTGAACGACTTTATTATCTGTCTGATCATAAAGTAACAACATAACAGCTCAGAATCAGTTTATCTGCAGATGTTCAATAGTTTATTATCAGAATATGATAAATCAATCTTAAATCAAGAATTCATTTCCTCTGTTAAGTTCTGTGTTTTTGGGTGAACTGACCCTTTAAGACTTCACGAGGAACCACAGTGTTTGTGCCTCCTGTGAGAGGTTGAACCAGCAGAGGGCGACGGCGTGCCTTCACACAGACTCACACTGATCACGGGCATTGTGTTCTGGATGTGCTCAGTTGTTGACTGCAGTTTCACTCAGTGTGACACTAAGAGGTTGCGTGTGACGTTTAAAGACAGTCAGGAAATAACAGTGTGTCTGCGTTAATGGGCTGGAGCTCACTGACCCTCTTGTGCCTCAATAACTTGTACATATTTGAATGTAATTTATTGTGATGATGATAATAAAACACAACCTGCCACAGAGGAATCATGGATTTTATTTCACCATTGGAAAACAAACTTATTTCAATAAATTAGACATTTTCTAAGGAAGTTCTGGGCCTCAGGAGGAGACATACGAACACATTTTCTCTTATTTTTAAGAAATAATACGTCGAGTTCACCGCTGAAGATCCTCCTCTAGATACAGAACTTAAATATTAATTTCCCACCATATTTATCATCAATATATTAACATCTGATTATTCTGTGTTGAGCAGTTTTCATTCATTTTGTCCAGATGTTTTCTATCTTTACTCTCTTCTGGTGTTTGTCTCCAGTTATTACCCACGTCCCCGAGTGTTTGCACCCCTGCCCTGCTCTAGTGTTTGGGGGGATATTACCCGGGTAGGAGCGTGAGTTAACTTCCAGGAACATGAGAGGAATGTGTGTGTGTGTGTATGGAGGGCCCTCTGTTCTCTGCTCTCTCTTTCTGTTCCTGTTTCATTTTGAATGTGTTGCCATGGAAACACAGGGGATGTTAACCAGCGTTGGCGAGCTCCGGCTGTTCCTCTCCCTCCTCTTGTGTGTTGCTGTGTGTGTGTGTGTGCGTCCGAGCACGCTCTCCGGCCTTGTTGATCCACGTGAGGGCACTGATTGCCCCGCTGGTCCAGGTCTGGGCTTCCTGACGTTGCAGTTGCTCCCTGCTGATTGTGCTGATGTCTGCGGGGAGCATTGTTCGAACCCCCGCCGTTCACTGCCCCCGTCAGGGTGTGTGCGACAGCGTCTTGATTATTTTGACGTCATTTTCTGGCTCCTGTTTGTTGCCTTCATTTCAAAAACAAACAACTGCATGTGCACATGATAAATCCTGATGTATGTGTAACATATACGTGTCCTGGAAAACCTGGAAAACCTGAACAGACCTGGAAGTTGATTAAAATGAACGAATATCCTGGAGATAATTTATGTTTTCCTGGAAAGTTGTTATTGTATTTTCATCCTGTGCTGTGGCCAAGTTAATGTTACTGTTAGAGGAAAGCTGTACTCAATATACCTTTCTCACAGCAGTAATGCCTGTGTTTACCCGACTATTTCATGTCAGAATGGCTGCTGTGAAAAAGGACTATTTAACAAACATTTAAAGTAAAACAAACTCGATTTTGTAAGTTAAAAAACCTCCTTGATCAAGTAGCTTTAGTAACTTTAAGTGACACTGAAAACATTAAAATTACTAATAAAAGCTCCTTCATCAAAAATCAATTGAACTGAATTGGATTATTTGAGTTAAAGTAACTTATTACACATTATTTATGTCAACACAACACAACTTTAAGAATATTTAATTAAGTGGTCTACTGAATTAAACCTATTTAAACATTATAATCTTTAAATATCAGATAACAGGTTATCAATGAGGACAGACAAATGTTTCTTTTTTCTTTCTTTATTAGAAAAGTATGTACATTATTAGAAAAGACTAGAAAAACAACAACAGGAAGTAAAAAAACGCTGCAGATGCAAATTGCATATTGAACCGCCTGCTGCAGGTTCATTGAGGGGAATCGAACTCACGAGCAGAACAACGGGGGAGAAAAACAACATAGTTACACTGAAGCTCTCTGTAACTTTAAAAACACTCTGGTAGCAAATATCAGCCTCCAATCAACAGTTTTTATCTATAAAACCTTTTTAAATCTAGATCAATTCATTTAACTCAAAGCAGCTTTTTGTAGTTTTAAGTGACACAATGGAAATAAAATACCCAGTAAAAAGTTCATCAGGAATGTTTAGTTAGTGCCACTTAAAATCACTAATAAAAGCTGCTTAATAACTCATCGTATTACAGTCCTGGAAACTTCACTGGAGGAGACAACAGGCAGTTTGGAGCACAAATTAAAACAAACTCAGTTTTAAAGATTTTTGATCGAGAAGCTTCAGTAACTGTAAGTGACACTGAAAACAAAATAAAAGCTGCTTCATCAAGAATCCTTTTGAACTGAATTGAGTTTGTTACTTAAACCCAAAGTGAGTCCACATTAAACCCAAATTGAGCCCAACGTGAGTCCACATTGAACCCAAAGTGAGTCCAAAGTGAGTCCACATTAAACCCACAGTGAACCCACATTAAACCCACAGTGAGCCCACATTGAACCCACATAGCAAGTACACATTAAACCACATTGAACCCACAGTGAGTCCACATTGAGCCCAAAGTGAGTCCACAGTGAGTCCACATTAAACCCACAGTGAACCCACAGTGAGCCCACATTAAACCCACAGTGAGCCAACATTGAACCCAGTGAGTCCAAAGTGAGTCCACATTAAACCCACATTGAACCCAAAGTGAGTCCACATTAAACCCAAAGTGAGTCCACAGTGAGTCCACATTAAACCCACAGTGAGCCCAAAGTGAGCCCAAAGTGAGTCCACATTGAGCCCAAAGTGAGTCCACATTAAACCCACATTGAGCCCACATTGAACCCACATTGAGCCCAAAGTGAGCCCAAAGTGAGTCCACATTAAACCCACAGTGAGCCCACAGTGAACCCACAGTGAGTCGGAGCTCCAGCAGCATCCTCCCCACCCGGATCATCCGGACCTCAGTCCCTCATCAGAGTCTCAGTTTACACATAAAGCTTCTTGTCGAACTCCCCGTTGGCTGTGATGCTCTTGGTGGGGACGTATTTGATGGGGTAGTTTCCTCGGGCCCCCTGTGACAAGGAGCAGCACAGCAGGGTCCCCCCGAGCAGCAGCAGCGCGGTGGCGGCCCAGCCGATGTAGATCGCCGCCCCGATCTCCCGCTTCTTGGCCGACGGAACCTGCGGGTCGTGGAAGTCCACTATGATGTTGTTGGCCATCCAGCAGAGCGGGACCAGCACGAAGAGCCCGCTGACGATGTAGATCACCCCCCCGGCGTTCACCACCCTCGCCTTCACCGCCTCATCCTTGATGCAGTTGGTGCACTGCGCCCCGGCCACCGTCACCGTGAGCGCGACCACCCCGAGCACGGCGGAGATCACCGTGAGTGCGCGCGCAGTCTGCAGGTCCCCCGACAGAGCCAGAACCGAGTCGTGGACCTTGCACTGCATCTGGCCCGTGCTCTGCACCACGCAGGACATCCACAGGCCGTCCCAGATGGTCTGCGCCACCACGATGTTGGAGTCGATGAACGCGGTCACCTTCCACGTGGGCAGCCCGCACGCGACCATCACCAGCAGCGAGCCCGTGACGCACAGCGCCAAACCGAGGAACTCCAGACAGGCGGCGAGCATGGCTCCGTGGTTGGGGGGCTCCGGTAGTCCGTGTGTGTGTGTGTGTGTGTGTGTGTGTGAGAGAGAGAGTGGGGGGGTGCAGTCAGGGAGTCTGTGCGTCCAATCAGCGGTCAGTGCGCGCGCTCAGCATCCACTCTGCTCACTGAGTGCGTGCGCTCCGAGGAGGCTCATTTATGGCACCAGCGCGCAGACTGCACCCCCATCCCAGTGTGAGCCAATCAGCGGCTGCAGGGGGGGCTGCAGGGGGGGCTGCAGGGGGCTCCCTCAGAGTAAACTCAGAGGATCTGTGTAGAATCAGATTATTTCCTGTTTATATTTCAGTCTGTTTGAATGACTCAGTGTTTTCTTCTCCCTGATGCTATAACCTGTGACTCATCACTAGTACTTATATTACTTTATAGTAACTGTAATCGTGGAGGAAACATTCACATTACTTTGATTTTAATAAATAAAACTGGATTTGGGGAGAAAGGAAACAGTTACTCTTTTTGTTGGAATAGCAGAAATGTAATATAACTAGTAACTAATTACTGTTGGCAGGGAGGTATATGTAAGGTAATGACATTACTTTTTAAATGAGTAATGAGTAATAAATTCTTATTATTTTAATAAATTCTTATTTACCCCTCCATGAAGCTTTGGCGAACCCTGTGGGGCTCCTGAAGAGCACAACTTTTAATAGTGAATGTGTTTAGATGGTCCGATAAACGCCCTAGGAGGAGTTCGTTCAAATACAACGTGTGCAAATCGCCAAAAATGGCCACAAAATCCAAAATGGCCAACTTCCTGTTGGGTTTGAGGTATGGGTCCTTGAGGCTTTTCTGCTTCTTTTATCATGGTACACATGCGTACCAATTTTCGTACATGTCGGCCTTACGTGTCTTGGGGGCTGATTCTGGGGGCGTGGCTTTCGCCATTTGGCGGCGCCCGTGCACGGGGACAATGTCATATCGGTATTTTCGCTACATTTGAATTTTGTGCAAATTTTCATGACTTTTTGAGAATGCTGCGGGGGTCAAATATGCGTTAGAAGGCGGCTAAAAATAATAATAATTCCTTCAGGAACAATAGGGTCTTGCACTTGTCAGTGCTCGATCCCTAATAATAATATAGAACGCACTCTCTGCGTAAAGTAAACATGAACCTGCTTGCAGACGTTGTGGATCAGATACGGGCACTTCCTGTTGGTCCGGTGCTCTGAGGAGAATAATGCAAAGCCACATCCTGGGTTCAGATCCGGCCGTAGTGAGTCTCCCAGTTTTCCCATCGTGCTCCACTTTTATCTGTCCAAGGAAACCATGAAGGATCTTACAGAGAAAGCAAGAACACACATTTGGAAATAGTCTTTTCTGTGAAGTTTATCAGGATAAAAACGCTGTAAAAATGTGTTTTTTGGGGGTATTTGTTTTTTGTAATGAGGCAGAAATAGAAGATGTTACTTAAGATCCAGACGTCCGATGACTAAAATCCTTCATCCGAGTTAAAAAGCACCAAGATCTAAACAGTGGATGGTAAAAATATGGCTGCAGACTGGATAAACAGTCAGTGTGTGACAGCTTCTGGCAGACAACCACAACAACCGAACACAGACGTTATCCACAGTTTGATGCAGAAATCTTCCTTATTAGAGCTTTAACTCACTGTATGTGTTGAACTGTTGGACAGAGAGCTGAAGGCTCCTGAAACCGTGACACAGATTTCTCTCATTTCGTCCTCACCAGCGCTCACAGGATGAACGCTCCATTGTTTCTCCGCTGTGTTGTTGAAAAATTCACTCAACTCTCTTTTTGTTTTTGTACTTTAAGTGAACTCAGCAGAGATAAGTACAGACCCCACAAACACGTCCTCTACACTGTGATGAGAAAGCAAAGCATTCTGGGCCGTTACCGGGACCCTTTAACCTTTTGTTTTCTGGTATCATATAAAACTAGACGATCCAACGCATCCACTGGTACCAACCATGTTATGCTAGCATGTTGGGAAGGGGGGGTCATAATGTTCCATACTGAGGCAAAATGTTGGAGATGGAAAAACTGGCATGGTCATTTTCAAAGAGCACTATTGACCTCTGACCTCAAGATGTCTGAATTAAAATGATTTCTATGGGTACAAAGTGGGAAACTATTGTGACGTCAACCATCGGTTTGTGGATTCTTATTTTGAAGCCTTGAGTTCGGCGTTTTGGTTGTTACCATGACAGTTTGTTGGAGCCAGCGGAGGTCACGTAAAGCGAGTTGAGCTGCTCTCATTGGCGGCTCGCCTGCTCACACAGGATCTGGTATTCCAGATAAACAGTAAAATATGTTTGTTTAACAGGTTTGAGGAGAGAAATAGTCAACAACAGAATCTGGATCCATATCTGATCAGCACTGTTTGACAGTTTGATCTGAGTTTGGTGCGTTGAGCTGGACGGACTCACTGAGAATGAGCTGTCAATCACAAGGTAGCCCCGCCCTAAAGCATACCCTGCTTTATGGTCTGTTTTACTCTAAATGGGACCATCAGTTACTAAATGAACATCATGCTGTATGGAAGAAGACTGAAACTAGAGACTGAGACCAGAAACTCATCAGGAAACTGTTTACTGAGGGAATAAATCAACTGAGAAGTCGACTCGTTTCTCCGTAAGACTGAATGGTAATGGAGTATTGTCAAAAATTGGTACCCATGAGTCGCCACTGTGCAGACACTTCATGCTAATCCAATGTGGTTTTAGTGCAGACTGGGATCCATAAACAGTGTTTAAATTGGGAATGACTGGAAAGCTGAGACACATACTTGATGCCACCTCAACATGGACACTCTCCTGCTCGCAGTACGATCCGATAGATCTGAAAAATACTCAACTGACTAATAATGACCCTAATCAGTAGCTCATAATGAAAGTGGATCCACATAGGACGACTGCGACTCTGAGCTACATGAATGTGTCACATCCTCCGTTTGTTCTAACAGGTGGAGATTAGTCAGAGGAGGAAGAGGAGGCACAGTGAGCATTAAAGGCTCGATAACACACGGCTTCTCTCTCTTATCAGGGCTGCTTGATGACTTTCTAGTGTTGGGATTTCCTCCAGTCTGAGTCAACGGCTTGTTAAAGCAATAAAGCCCCGTGAGTACAGCTACTTATACTGTGTGTGATACAGGGGGCTGCTCAGTTAGTCATTTTATATTCTACACTGAATGAATCACTAGGTTTCCATCCAAATGTAGCTGTATTGGTTAACTTGTTCTTGTTATTTATGAAGTTTAGATTATTATTTACGATATAAACTCAATCTCACAGGATAAGGACACAGAGAAGACCTGAACACAGTCTGCTGATAGAACAATGAGACCTCTTTGCAGGGATATACAACACTTATAACTTTATGATGTGCCATAGAAGAATAAAAAACAGGAGCGTGAGGCATCGATCCTGCTCGACCCGGAGCAGTGACAAACACACACACAGTAAGAAAACAACAACTCATCGGTTAAAAGCAACTGTACAGGAACATAAACATACTAATAAAGGTGTTTAATCACTATTTAATGTTGTGCATTTTAAAAAAAAAAAACACAAATCAAGCAACCACACACACACGCAAACAAACAAACAAATCTGTGCCACACCTACCACTCCATAATTAATTTATTAGTTTGGAATAGTATGACAAAGATACATAAAACTGACAGAAAATTGAATAAAAAGCATTAAAAATAAAATAAAATATTCATAAAATGTAGTCAATAATAGAAAAGAGCTCCCTTAAAGGTTAAATATACAAAATCCACCACTGGATGTCACACTAGAGCACCAGCATCTCAGACCAAAACAATCAGACAGAAACAGAATAAAACTCATTAAAAGCGTCTCTGTTAGTGTTTCCAACAATCACCAACTCTGGTTTGGTGGAAATAAATCCTTAATTCACTGACGTAGATGATAAAAACAGCAGTTTCAGTCGGAGCAGACCGGCTATGGAAACAAACCACAGAGAGGCTGCGATACAACACAGGCAGAGGGAGAGAGACACCATGTGACTCTGTAAATATTTAAGGAAAAAGGTTGAGATCCAGAGTTGCTGGAGTTTTGACCTTCAGAAACATCGGCTGCGACACAACGAGAATCTTTTTAATGAGTTTATTAATTTCACCTTGAATCAAACAACATTCAGCAACGTGAGCGCACACACCTGTGGTAAAAGAAAGAGTGAGTCACTGTTGTTGCCCTGCACAATCCTCCTGTTCTTCTGCTGCACAGGACAATTCAGATCAACAAGGTCACACACACACACACACACACACACACACACACACACACACACACACACATTATATTACCAACACTTAAGACCAACATTAAAGGCATCTTGAACCAAACCGCCGGCCCACGTACCAAATATTGGTACCGGACAGACGCACAACTCAACAAAATGCCAAGGCCTCGCATCTCTCCGAGCGCCAGCAGGTGACATTTCATTGTGGATAATAAAAACAGCTGATGTGGAAAAGGAGGAGGAGAATATTCCCGGCGGCTCGGAGAACAATGGAGTCGAAGGGAAGTGATAAGAGACAGGACATCCTAACGCTGCTGCATCTCAGCCCTCCCACCAGCCGCCGACACGTCAGCAAGCGGCCCCGCAGCTGTCAGTCAGCTTCACACACTCGAGAGCCAGAAAAGTGTTTATGAAGTTCAGACTGATTCATTTCATTACTGTTCTGTTATACTGCAGCTTTTAATCAAGATACTGCAAATATAATGCTAAGAATTCCCAGCAGACTCAAAAAGGACAAGAAATCTACTTCAGAATTCCACAGATAGGAGCTGAGATCATTTGAGTTTAGTTCACTGAAGAGTTGATTTCTTGTACACAAACTGCAAAACAATATAAGAAATATAAAATAACTGAAGTCACCTCCATTGGTGTCATTGCAGTCAGCTTCTCCCGGTTAGGATTCCTTCAGTGTTCATGGTTCAGGAGGTTTCTACCGGGAGCCCAATGATCCACAGAGGTCTCCTCCTCTCCAACACAAACAGACCCGCTGATTAAAACCACCAAACACACTGAATTAAGCAGTTCCACCTTAAACACACTGAATAAAGCAGTTCCACCTTAAAAATCACTGCTTCTCCCACACTGTTGGACAGACAAAGGACGTCCCGGAGGGGCTGAGAACCGAGTT